TTTTTCCCTTCGTTTTTCTTTCTCTTTTTCTTCTCCGTATTCTTTCCTTTCCCCTTCCCCCCCCCTCCCCTTTTTTTTTTTTTTTTTTTTTTTTTTTTCTCCTTTTTTTTTTTTTTTTTTTTTTTTTTTTTTTTTTTTTTTTTTTTTTTTTTTTTTTTTTTTTTTTGATTAATTATGTCGACGCTTATTACTTGCTGACTTATAGGGGATCAATCCACTTGATTTGGAGATGGGTGTCAAATATTATCTGTGTGACGCTGATTGTCATAGCACGGTTAATAATTATCCCAGTCGTCGTTCTTCGAAATCCGAAAACGTTAATAGTAATCATCAGATGAATTCATCCATTTCGAACCTTCGGGACACAAACACTGAATCGGATAAAGGAAGCGGTAATCTGCTGACCGGTTCTCCACAATGAATCACACTGGATTTGTCTTATATCCGTTCTTCTCCTTCTTTTAAATTATATTTCAAGCAGAGGAAGATATCATTATTTGTACAATAAGTGTCATATTTTAGATATGATGTGTTAATTAATATTAAAAATGCATGTAATTTTGCGAAAACCTATAATTCATCTTTTTGCAAACTGCACGTACAATAATTCAATCTGGTTATGTGAACTTTCTAATGACTAAAAATCATTGTTCGCTACGGGCCAGTTTATTTATTTTATGATTTAAAAAAGTATTTAAAATAAAGTCATCATTTCATGCATACAACCAATTACTCACGAGGCACTTTAAAAAAAATAGTACGATTATTGGATTTTCATAAATTTTGAACATATTGTAATACAGTACAATAGGTTTGGCATTTTTAATATAGCAAAAAATATTAACAACAACAATAATTTTTTTAATTGATATCTTGAATGCATATTGATTCGTTTTATATATACAATTTACCAAAATTTTATATTTCTTATTTTATTTGATATAGGTAGAATTAGCGGTTACTTTTTCTGTATAATCATTTTTCGCGTTTTTCATCGCAGATCTTTTTTTTCGCGTTTTCATCTTACGTAATACAATACGGCTTAAATTTTCGCGATCACAAAAACAAATTTTGATTGGACGTTGATGATAGATCGATGTATATAAAAGGTAGAACAGTCGTTTTAATCATCTTCATTTAGTTTGTTTTTCAACATGAACACAAGACGAAGCAGAAAACCAATTGAAACAACTACTTCATTTACTACTGAGGGAACACGCGTTGCGTCTAGTAGCATGAGTGAAGCTTCATTTCCCAAAAGAAGAGGAAAACTCAGAAAAGAAGAGGAAACCATTGACATTCAAAGTGCTTCATCCTCTAGTCAAGGTGGTGCAGTCCGAGAAGTTGAAATGATATGCGTCGAAGTTCCCCCTCCTAAGAGAAGTGGGAGGCGCGGGAACGACAGAGAAACCCCTGACGCTCAAAAAGTTATGGAATCCAGTAATGGAGGTAGTTCTGTCGTACTGTCTAAAACTGAGATATTTATTGAAGTCCCTTCCTCAACGAGAAGAAGGAAACGAAAGAATGAAGAAACAATCTCAGATACTCAAGCAAGTATAGCCTCCAGCAGTAAAGGTAATACAGTCACATCGACCAGAGTTGAGGAAGTTGCTGAAGTCCTCTCTCCTAGGAAAGGAAAGCGGCAGAAGAATGAAGGAACAACTCCTGACATACAATCAGCCGAAACTGATGTTGTCGTCGAAATTCCTCCTCCTAAGAGAAGAGGGGGACGCAAGAATAATGAAGAAGTGATTCCCTATACTCTAACAAACACGATATCCAGTATTACTAGTGCTGAAGCTGAAAGTATCGATGAAACATCCTCCCGCAATGGAAAAGGAAGGTACAAGTACGACGAAGAAACCTCTGAAACACCAACGAGCATGACGTCTAGTAACGGAAATGACGTGGTCATAACGACTATAGCGACAGAGATTGAAAGTATTACTAAAGCTTCCTCCTCTTACAAAGGAAAAGGGAAATGCAAGAATGAAGACGAAACTCCCGAAACTCTTACAAGCATGACGTCTAGTAGCAGAAGCAATCCAGTTACGGCGGCTGAAATTGAGAGTATTACCAAAGCGTCTTCCAAAAGAGAAGGGAAACGCCAGAATGACGAACAAACTCCTGATACTCTGATAAGCATGGCTTCTAATAGCTTGAACAATACGGTCACAACGAAAATGACAGTTGAGACTGATAGTATTAATAAAATATCCTCTTCTGAAAGAAAAGGGGAATGCAGGAATGATGGAGAAACCGTTGAAGCTTTGACAAGCATGGCTTCTAGTAGCAGAAGTAACATGGTCACAGAAACTGAGACTGGGAGTGGCACTAGAGCGTACGTCTTTACGAGAAAAGGGAAATGTAAAAATGACGAAGTCCTCGAAGTTCAAACAAATACGGGAATTAATAGTAGAGGTGATACGATTATGACGGAAGAAACAGAAATAAACACTGGAACACTATCATCTATAGGAAAAGGGAAACGAAAGAGGGACGAAGAAGCGTCCGATGAACAAACAAGTGCGGAGGCATCCAACAGCGGAAATAATATAGCCGTAGCTGAAGCCGAAATAACCGCTGAAGTAGCTTCTTCCGAAAGAAAAGGGAAACGAAGGAAAGAAGAGACTTCTGACACTTGGAAAAGTGTGACGTCTGACAATTGTACGGTTATGGCAGCTGGAACTAGTGTTATTTCCTCAGAGGGGAAAGGTAGACGAGAGAAATACGAAGAGACCTTTGAAAATCAGGCAGGCGGGACGTCTGGTAGTGGAAATAATCGTGCAGTCATGGCATCAGAAAGTGAAACCCTTTCCTCAGAAAGAAGGAAGCGTAGATGCGATCACGAACCTTTAGATGACCGAGCTGCAGAAAGTAAAAAGGCTAAAATAGACTCAATAACTGTACCTATTGCTGAAACTGTTTCTTCAGCGACCACTTCATCTGCAGAATCGTCTTCAGCTTCCATTGCTGCAACCGTATCACCATCTTCGGCCTCCATTATTGCAACCGCATTATCATCATCTTCTTCTTCTTTGGCCTCTATTACTGCAACTGCATTGTCACCATCATCTTCATCTACAGCATCATCTTCAGCTTCCATTGCTGCAACCGCATCACCATCTTCGGCCTCCATTATTGCAAACGCATTATCATCTTCTTCTTCTTTGGCCTCCATTATTGCAAACGCATTATCATCATCATCTTCTTCTTCTTTGGTCTCCATTATTGCAAACGCATTATCATCTTCTACAGCATCATCTTCAGCTTCCATTGCTGCATCACCATCTTCGGCCTCCATTATTGCAAACGCATTATCATCTTCTTCTTTTCCGGCCTCCATTACTGAAACCGCAACATCTTCGGATTCCACCACTAAAACCGATTCCTCTCCGGCTCGCGTTTTTATTACCAGGGCTCCTTCAACCTCGAAGAAATCAAATAAAAGAGGAAGAAAGCCACGGGAAAAACGACCGACAAGGATTCGAAAGATCACTAAAGTTAGTGTTTCTCAATTATATCTATTATCATATCGTTAAGTCACTAATGAATACACTATATATAGCCTGTGAGAGATCGAATTGATCGCGTAATTTCTCAGCGCATGTTTTTGGTCAATAAGAGTATACTAGGCGATTTGCAGCGAGAATACGTAGTTTTAGGCGCGACCGGCAATGTATGTATTTAAGTGTGAAATGTGCTATTCTTTTAAGTGATAATGAAATCTTATACACGTGGTGGATATATTATATGCAGGCTTATACGGTCTCTCTCACAAAACTTCCATCGTGCACCTGTCCCGATTTTAAAAGAGGTAGTTTTCTAATGAAATTCAATTTATAGTGTGTTATTTACAATTCAATTTTCTCACAATTATGTTTCATATATATATCTTAGGAAATATTTGCAAACACCTCGTAAGTTATTTGTATATCGTATTCGTATGTCTTTAAACGTATTTTACTGATAACATTTTACTGTTTGTATACTAGCTATTCGTGTATTTGAAAGTGTTAAAGGTTGATCGCGAAGATCCAGTTATTTGTCAGAAGGCTCTTTTGACAAGAGAATTAAAAGAACTTTACTCTCGCGAACGCTTAGATTCATTTATTTTGGTAACTAATATCTCTTTACAATTTATCTTTAATGAAATCCAAAGTAACTAACAGTTATATTAATTAGGCCAATCAAAGAGTAAGAAACCGATATGAAGCAATTATTAATGGCATAATAACAGTTAAAAAGAAAAAACATGCTAGTAGGCGATCTATTGAAGGAGATTGTCCGATTTGGTAGGATCAGCAGTCGACTAAGTTTATTACTGTAATCTAAGAAATTCCGCAAGTCTAACTGAAAAATATTTAATAATAATAGCTATGAACCGTTGGAAAAGGACAAAGAGAAAGAGATTGTCTGGTGCCAAAGTGGTTGCGGTAACAACATTCACAGCTATTGTTTTATGAAGTGGAGGAGGACTATAACCTATCATCAAAAGGTTAGATTCATTGAATATGCAATATCTCTTTCGCCTGTTGAAAATAATTATATAATATTCAATTAATTTCGCTTATTAGGTCACCTGCGTTTATTGTCGCAGTGATTGGCACATCCAACGTGATATCGAAGCGGAAATAACTGAAGAAGGCTTCCTGAACTTTGGTAGAATGGCGGGACTAGTAGCTGAATCTCAAAGTATTTAAACGAACATTTGTATTCATATCTGAGTTCAATTACACTAAAGAAATTAATTCTAAGCAGGTTTCATATTTTAGGCAATAATTTTCCTTATTGCGCCATAAGGTCTTCTGTAGATTCAATTGTCTGACTTATAGATTTGTTTTTTTTTGCGTTTCCAGGGTAAAATACTAAATTTCGTTACGGTTTTGATGTTAGCTAATATTGGGGGGTTTATCCTAGATTTAGTCTAGTCAACTTGATTACTTTGTATTATTTGGTTATATATAGTTGTTTTCAAAGTACATTAGCGGATGGTAGGTAGGTAAATTAGGTATAGGAAAATGGATGCGCCGGATGTTATTTACGATTGCTTCACTTATGCTATAACAAAATATTTACACTATGTATATCAGTTACGACTTTTATTATAATAAATAAATAAATATAAACATATTAGTAGACAATAACTTTACCCCAACTTGCATTATTTCTTAAACCCATGAATATTTCATAATAAAATTTTAACTTAGCTACATAAAATCTAAAAATCCATTGATATTTTTACTTGCTTCTACGTAAACTTCAACGGCTTTAAGAGATATTGAATTGAAGTTACTCTTTTCTATCAAATAATAAAAAATTGTTAGCAAAGAATACTTCTAAAAAAAATTTTTTTAAGACACTAGCTCATCCTTGTGTCCATGTGCTACATATTTTATTAGTGTAAGTAAAAAATCTAGGGACAACCAGGATGAATAATTACCCGTACTGTCTAAGGATTTACAAATCAATGAATAGTACAAAGGACTAACTATTTACATCTTATCCAATCAGGATAAGATAATTACATGACCGTCTAGTATAGATTGACTACTTACAAAATCAAAATGCAAAAATAATGATAATAATATGATGTAACAAGATATATTACTTTTTTATTTCACATGTAAGCACTTCCTAGAATCTCAAACCCTGTCAGACCTTTGTCGACAGCTCAAGTCTCAATCCACCAAGTGGCTTATTGCTATTCCTAAAAAAAGGGAGCTAATATGTCCAGGATTCATCAGAAGTATTCAGTACCACTGATGTTGAGAATCCCTTATATAGAGCCTTAAATTCCACTAGCACTTAACCAAAAATTTTATAAAAAAAAAAAG